GCTACTTGAATATAAACTGTTGTTGGTGGGTCCAGGGAAGAGAGGCAAAGCAAAAATCAGTACTTCCTGTTTTGTAAACAAATTCTCTGAAGCTTAGTAATGCCTCAACCCCAGAAATGGTAACAGAAACTTTACAAATTCAAACATTTTATAAAACAGCTTTCTCTTTGGAAATGCTGGCTCACTGTTTTTTCCTCAGCTTCTATCAGAGAAACTCAAACATTACTGAACCGAGTACTGAACTTCTGTGCTCCTACCATATTTATATAAAGTGCTCCTCGTATCATCATAGTGGTGAGAACAGTCACTTCCAATGCAAGGAAATACATAGTAGTTTCTAAGGCAGATTGTGAATACTTCCACAGTATTGCTCAACTCCTGCAAGAAATTGCATTATCTTCTCTTTCATGAGAAATCTTATGTCAGAAAAGCAGAGTGCATTGTAATGCAGCTGAAACAGTGAAATTTTGGAAAAATCAAAAAAGTTACATAGGCTAATACTTTCACTCTCAGATTATACGTTACACTCATTTAGAAACAAAACCAGCTTGTCTTTTCTCTAGAACAGAGATAGTAAATTTAAGCTAATTATTGTGTCAAAGCATAAAGGATGTAAGTAATCTATAAAAAAGATTCTTACTGTGTTATAAGTTAGTTGAGTGGGAGTGTGGATCTGCTTGAGGGTAGGAAGGCTCTGCAGGGGGGTCTGGACAGGCGGGATCGATGGGCCGAGGCCAACTGTGTGAGGTTCAACAAGGCCAAGTGCCGGGTCCAGCACTTGGGTCACAACAACCCCATGCAATGCTACAGGCTTGGGGAGGAGTGGCTGGAAAGCTGCCTGGCGGAAAAGGACCTTGGGGTGTTGGTTGATAGCTGGCTGAACATGAGCCAGCAGCGTGCCCAGGTGGCCGAGAAGGCCAGTGGCATCCTGGCTTGTATCAGAAATAGCGTGGCCATCAGGAATAGGGAAACGATCATCCCCATGTTCTTGGCACTGGTGAGGCCACACCTGGAGTACTGTGTTCAGTTTTGGG